TCTTTGGTATAAAATGTGTATCCATTAATTGCGTATGCGCTATAAGAAAACACAATCATACTTGGACCATATGCTAAACATCTCAACCTTTCTGTTACTGAAGCAGGATCCGAACGATACTTTGAATAAATTTGTTCCTTAAACCACGGTATGAAACTTCGATTGTGCTCTCGTACTATCCAATTCTCATTTCTATTCAGATTTAAACCTCGAAGAACACCCTTGTGCATTTCAGCATACGGCTCAACCTCAATCTCATTGTGCAGAACATACAAATGCACCTGATCCCGTTCGACCATTGACACTGTCACAACTTTATTTCCAATTAGTCTTTTTCCTTCTTTTTTCTCGACAATATGAGATTTGGGGAGTCCAACTGATTGAACATTTGACAGATATTCAGTGCAAAACTCAACCGCTTCTTCAACAATGTATCGTTCCGCAATACAACCCTCCGGTCGACTTCGGTTTTTCACGTACCCTTTTAAAATTTTCATATAACGTTCAGCAGGGTACATCCATCTCATATAAGCTGGTCCGCACAACTGTGTCTCTTTGACAAGATGAACGACTAGATGAACCATTATGTCAAAAAACGAGGGAGGAAAATACATTTCAAGCTCACATAAAGTAACAACCACCTCTTTTTGCAATGTTGGTAAGATCGCAGGATCGATCACCTTGCTGCAAATTGACTTGAAGAAAAAACACAACTTAGTTATTGTGCTCCTTACTTTTTCTGGCAGAATAGAACGTATACCTATTGGTAGAAAATGTTCCATTATAACATGGCAATCATGAGTCTTTAAACTCTTTAACTTTAGGTCTTTCATTGACACAAGTCTTCTAATATCTGATGAGTAGCCTTCTGGAACTTTAACTTCACTGAGGAACTTACACAATATTTTCTTCTCCTTTCTAGATAGAGTGTAAACAGCAGGTGGTAGATATGTGCGTCTTCCTTTCGTCACGGGTGCCAATTCAGTTCTAATTCCCATGTTTAACATGTCCTTCCTTATGTTAATGCCATCCTTAGACTTTCCTTGTATATTGAGTAACGTACCAATAACACTATCAAATACATTTTTTTCAATATGCATAACATCGAGGAAATGTCTTACGTACAACGACTTCCAATATGGAAGTTCAAAAAAAATCGACCTCTTCTTCCACCCACTCGTGACAAGTCTATGTGCAAAAGGCTTGCCAAACTCAGTACTCACATCTTTCACCTTTTCAAAAATCTGATCACCTGTCAACATATGTGGAGCTCTACCGTGTTCTGCCTCTCCATTGAATGCCTTTCTCCACCCACGATAGTGATGATTAGAATTTAAGAATCTACGATGACCGAGAAAAACATTCTTCTGACAAAAGTTCAATCGCATCGTATCGGTTTCATCTTCACAAACAGGACACGCTTTTTGACCCTTAATGCTGTACCCTGATAGATTTCCGTACGCCGGAAAATCATTAATTGTTCCAAACAACATCGCCCTCAAGTTGAAACTTTCTTTCCTATACCCATCGTAAACCTCCACACCGGTCTCCCACAAAAACTTCAAATCTTCGACTAAGGGTGCCAAGTACACGTCTATGTCATTCCCTGGTTGTTTGGGCCCAGAAATTAACATAGATAGCATCATGTACTTACGCTTCATACATAGCCACGGAGGTAGGTTATATATCATAAGAATCACAGGCCAGGTGCTATGCGAGATACTTTGAATACCATGCGGGTTCATTCCATCAGTAGACAACGACAAGCGAAGATTTCTTGCTTCTTTTCCAAATTCAGGATAATCAATATCAACTTTCGTCCACTGTGGTGAGTCTGCCGGATGTCGCAACTTCCCATCAATAATTCTTTCATCTGCATGCCAAGTCAAGTGTCTTGAATCGGTCTCACTACGATACATGCGCCTAAATCTCGGAATTATAGGAAAATACCATAACACCTTTTCCGGAGACAACTTTTCCTTATATCGAGGGGCACCGCATTTAGGACACTCATTTAACACTGCGTACTCGTTTCGAAATAAAACGCAATCTTTTGGACATGCATGTATCTTTTCATAGCTCATGCCAATAGAGGACAACATCTTTTTGGCCTCATACGTTCGATTGGGAAGAACATTATCCTCTGGTAGCATTTCTTTCACGAGGGCTAATAACTGTGTGAAACTTTTATCCGACCATCCGTTGTCCGCCTTTAAGTTGTACAACTTTAACACCGCAGACAATCTTGTGAATTTTGTACAACCATCATACAACGGTTTCTCTGCATCGCTTACCAACCTCTCGAACATTTTGGGACAATCCTCAAGATCTTCTTCAAGCGCTTCTGCAATCTCTTCGACTCGATCATAATCGTATGCGTCTGCGAAATCCTCATTTGAAGCATACGTCGTATTATAACTCGATTCAACATTCCCGCTACTTTTCTCACCATGCAAATTCCAACATGCATAACTTCTATCAATTCCATGCATCAGTAAATGCGATTCCAACTGAACCGCGTCAACCCGTCTCCCATAACAGCATCTCAAGCAAGGACATATCATTCCATTGGGTTCTCTGGCGTGCGCAACGGCAAACTTAACAAATTCTGATACCCCATCCTCATACTCTTTCGACAATCGATTGGCAGTCATCCATTTTTTATCCATGGTTTGACTATAGCAACTAATTAGTCACGCAACTATAGCAAAATAATAATTAATTACCTGTAAAGAAATTCAACATATCAGGTAATCAAATTCATAGTTATTCTTGCCTCACCTTAAGCATGTGCTAAACAACTCATAACTAATTACTAACTAGTGAAGTCGGATACTAGTGATTCAGTCTTGGATACAGGTAATAACAATTATATTCAAACAATAGTGAAGTCGGATTTCAAACCTTACGGTAAAGATTTCATCGGAGGAGAAGCAACCGGAAGATTTAGCAACGGAAAAATCCCGTCAGATATTTTTGGTATAGTCCTATAGTCCTAAATTCTAACATCTACACGCTAACTAATGTGTTGCATGGTTCATTGTGTTTAAGATTTTCATTGATGTTTGATGAATCCCTGAAACGTGCTCGTTTCAATGCTATCAATACTGCCATACTGCCATATACAGCCCTATACTGCCATAACAGTCTAAATATAAACAAAAACACAACCGCGGCTCATGAATTCCACTCAACTATAATCATTAGAAATTCACACTGAGCCGGAAAATAAAAGTAAAAACAATCAGTTATTCAAGTCAGTTCAAGAATAGGATAGAAACCTTTGAAAATGTTGAGAGCGTCCCGCGTACACTACGATCAAGGACAGTTCGAATTTCTTCAATCGGAGAAAGTTTCACAGCTTTTTCCTACCACAATAACACTTAAAATCAATCTCCCACAAAGGAGTCACACACAAATTTAAATTACAATAACTGATGTAATTTTTATCTAAAAATCGATATTAAATCGTTGAACTATCACTCATTTGTGGTTGTCTCTAATATTAAAAATGCTATTGGTACACTTTACTAAGTTGCACATAACACAATCAATTAGTTTCAGTAGAAAAAAAAAGTATTGCGGACGCAAGGGTATTGAATTTCTATATACATTATTCTTTTTGAGATTAAATGATATTTTTCAATTCAAAAGTACTCAGACTCTTGCTTTTTTGCGCCAACTAAGAATATCCTTCACATGTGATCAAGTGCCATGATGAAAAGAAGCACTCATTTCTTGAAAAAGAGAGGCAAAAACAAGTAATAGGGGACACAGTTGCTAAAGGCCAAAGCATAGGATCAAACAACTCCTCTTATTATAACCCCTCCATCTCATAACAAATGCTTTGTAAAATTCTGCACCTTCTTACCAAATGAATTTATAGAACTACTAATATTTAAAAATAAAATACTAGTATTTATATAGTAGTTAATTATTTAAAGTATTAGGAAACGTGATATCCGTTTTTATGGCTATTAGAGCCAAAGTCATTACTGAACCAATGTTCTCCATTATAATCTATATACCATTTAGCTCAAACACATTAGAGAAATGTTATTTACGTATCACTAAGATCTTGAGAATACATTATTTTAATTTGACTGAATTTCAGTCATAGCAATGAATCAGTAAGATATGAGAAATGATTGATTGTTGCTTCCAGTTTAAAAGACCATTCACATCATTGTCAGATGGTGAATTCTAAACTTAAAAATGATTAGAATTTTTTTATAAAAAAAAAAGTAAGTTGTACTAATTGTAGGGTGATCTCAACGATAACCAAGTGAAAAAGATGGATTAGTTTCAACTAACCAACAAATTGAGTGCAAAGTATCTATCAGCAACAGCATTATTAGCCCATTTTTGTTGTGATTCCAAATTTGTTTTCCATGTTTCCTATAAGTTAATGAAATTGCATCATCAGTAAGGAACATAAAAGCAAAGGAATTAGTGTTAATTTTGATCATGCTCCTATTAAGGTGGGGAATACTGTGCAGGCTAATAACAGGAAAAAAACTGATGGACAATGCATCTACTGTGGTGCACAGGAAAGTTGTAGTCACCTATTTTTTGAATGTGTTGAGACTAGAAAAATATGGTTGCAGGTGCTAAAATGGATGCAGCTAGTGCATACTCCCCAAGAATGGAAAGCTGAACTGAAGTGGGTATGCTACGGCATAAAAAAGCGGAACTGTCAAATAAAATTTCATAAGTAACTTTTATATAAAATTCCAATTTTAGATATTGAAGGAGATTAGGCAGTAATACATCAGTTGGAAGCCACGGACAATATTCCTCATTTTATCGAACAGTTTGCGTGCAAGATACAAAACAAGATTCCCGGCAACACAGACAAATCGAACAGAAGCAATGTATGAATGGCAAGGATTTTGAAACATACCTTTTGATACGACTCTAGACGAAAAAAGCTTCGTGCCGGCGAGGATGAGGAATCAGAACAAAAACGAGAATAGCTTCGTGCCGGCGAGGGTGAGTTGATGAACGGTGCTGATAAGGTTCGTGCCGGCGAGGGTGAGATGATGAACGGTGCTGAAAAGCTTCGTGCCGGCGAGGGTGAGATGGAGAAGACGATGAACAGGGCTTCGTTCTGATATTTCGTTTTGGGTTTCGTGGGTATTCTGAACTGTGCTGTTCAATATTTCATTTTATTTAATTTTGATATTTGAGCTACCACGGCGCTTTTAGCCTAAAAAGCGCTTTAGTAGCATCAGATCCTATGCCAGCGCTTTTGAAAGCGCTTTCAAAGGCCAATCTTCCACAGCGCTTTTTAAAAAGCGCCTTCATAACCCTATTATTTCGTTTTTATTAATATTTTTATTTGACCTACCACAGCGCTTTTAATGTAAAAAGCGCTTTCGTATCCCCCACCTATGCCAGCGCTTTTAAAAAAGCGCCTTCGTAGGTTTCCCTTTTTTTTTAATTTTGTTTTTTGTGAAGGCTATGGCAGCGCTTTTTCAATAAGCGCTTTAGTAGAGGCGCTGCAAAAAGCAGTTTTTGGCGTAGTGATACTGTAGGTATGACTTGGGATGTCGGCAGTCTTTCCGTCATTGAAGCGGAAGCCTTAACTCTCAAGAAAGTCATACAAAGCGCTATTACTATGCAACTTGATCAAGTTATTTTCAAAAGTGATTCCTTTCGTGTGGTACAACCTTTACGGATCAAAATCAGTGGCAATTCTGAGTTCTATGCTATTATTAGAGTTATTCAATTGTTGTTTCTTAATTTGTGGTTGAGTTTATCAAACGTCAAGCGAATATGGTTGTTAACTCGTTAGCACAGGCGGCCAATTCGTGACCTAAGCGTAGTTTTATCCATCTTGTTCCTCCTTGTATTAAACTTTTAATTTATAATAAAAGAAGTTAGTTTTGTTCCGTTCAAAAAAAAACTTTTTTGTTTTTGTTTTAAAGAAATGGGATTTTCTAAGGAGTTTGATTTGGAAATATTTGATGCTTGAAATCGTAGACAAAGAATAAAGGTTGATAAGATCAATAGAGACTAACTTCATAAAATTTTTATTATAAATTACTGATCAAAGTTTTGATTACTGACTTCTTATCTTCTTTAACATGCAATGTAATCATTAATTGATTTGGGAATTCAACTAATTCAAAATAAATAATAAATTAATTTATTTTAAAAAATTAAAAATAAAACAAAATCAAATATTATTAATTATTTTAAATAAAATCTATCCTTAATGGTAAATTTATCGGTCTTTACATGGTGGACAAAAACAAAGATGATATACTCAAAAAGTTAAAAAGGTATAACACAATTTATATATTTTTCTAATTTGGATGTTGATGTTTAGTTAGTTGGGTGTCAAATTTACAAACTTTGCAATCTATATATATATATATATATATATATATATATATATATATATATATATATATATATATATATATATATATATATATATATATATATATATATATATATATATATATATATATATATATATATATATATATATATATATATTATTTGACTCCTTAAATCTACTATAAATGTTTTTCTACAAATATTAACTAAATATCTTTTACAAAAGGTAAATTTGTAAAATTCAATGAATATAGCTAACTTTCTTAATTTCTATATTTTATAAATCTTATATTTAAAAACGCACGTGATTAGGAATGACAAAATATATTTGAACTCGCAGATATTTGCGGATAAAATCCATCATGGATACGAGACGAATAATTTAATATATATTTATGGATAGAATATTGAATATTTAAATACTCATTTTAAATGGATACATATATGAGTTTAAGAATATGTGTCCATGAATATCTGTATTCGTTAATAAATTATAAAATCATTTAAATTTTATTAGTTTAAATTATTTAAAGAAGGAAATTAAACTTGTGAGAAAAGAAACTAATGTGACAAAATTTTGTTGTTAAAAATAAATTGTATGGAATTTATGGGATAATAACCCTTTGTATCTTTAAAATAGGTTGAACAATTTTTTCAATTTTTTTTTATTGATGTATATTTATATATATTCTCGCATGTCTTAAAACTCACAAATTACTGTTTAGTGGATATCTGCACGGATATGAGACAAATATAAATATCATATTTATCAAATAGGACGGATACATATATCATACTATTCATCTTATGGATATCTATTTACGAACAACTGGAAAAAAATGGATTTAGGGAATTGGTTTGTGAAAAATTGGAGTATGAGAAAGATGAGTTTTTCATGTCCTTCATCGACAATTCTATATAATATAATTGCAGTGATGTTGTTGCATTTTTTTTTTGAAGAATAAGACATCTTTTCTGTTACCGTTAGCAGTGGAAAACGAAAAAGTAAATTGATTACCAATTCAAATAGTAAAATATTTGCATTTTATTTTGTTTCAATTAATAAATTTGTGTAATACAATTGTTATAATGTTATTGATTTCTCTCATTCTCTGAAGTTAGGGGTGGCAAAATGGATTGGGTCCGCCGAGTTTGTCCATTTGACCCGTTATTTTTGGTGGGTTGGACTGACATTTTCGGTTCGGTACTTTAAGTTGACCCGTCCCGTCTAACCCGCTTAAACAAGCGGGTCGATGCGGGGCGGGACGAGTTTTCTCCGCGGGCTTTTTCTTAAAACTTTTACTATTTTTTTTAAGAATTAAAACAATTTTATCTATAAAAACAACACTTATCTCTTAGGATTGTATTATAAATTATTATACAGACAAATTGAATTATATTTGTAACGTTCTTTCTATAACTTTCTAATACATCTGTTGATTGAAATAAAAGAACAAATGTATGACATGTATAATTATTAAGATTTCAATATATTAGCTCATATGTTTTCTTTAGAAATAGATGTTGATTTTAAGAAAATGAAGGATTTGATTAGTGTATACATGTGACAAATTTATGATTTAACTATTAAAGAAGCGGTTAATATAAGAGTCTATATAATGTAAGCAGTGAATCTATATAATATAAGAGTGTATATTTTATGCACTGTGATATTTTATGCAATGTTATTATTATCATTGTTGGTTTTGTGTAAATTTTAAATTTAGTTCTTTTAGTAGTTAGTTTTTAAATATGATTAGAATGATATGTATTGTTTATTTATTTTGATTTTCTTTGTTGTGCTTGAGTTTATTATGTTTTTTTGTTGTAATTGATCTTTATTTATCAAATTTTTTAAATTGTTTGGACTTAAGACATCTAAAAGTTCTATTATGTATTGTTAAAAAAATTTATTTATTGACCTCTTTGGTAATAATTAAAAAAAATTTAAATTTTATATTAAACTAAACTGTAAAATAAAAAATTGGCGGACCGGCCCGTCATCTCGTTAGTAAATGAGACGGACTTAACTTTTTAGCTCGGTTTCCTACGTTGGTTCCCTCCGCCCCTTTTGGACGGATTTAAATGAGGCAGGCCTAAATGGGACGAATTTTGCCACTCGTATCTAAAGCTATTATTATTTGAATGAATATAAAATTAATTTGATTTCAAATACTCGGTTACAAACTAATTAACACTAATGTAAGATAATTGGTTAATATATTTTTTACCAATCAATTAAAAATAAAATTATATAGTAATAATAAATATTAATAATGTGATAAATAAAAAAATATTAAACAACATCAAAGATAAATAATTTTTTTTTCAATTTCTATTTTAATTTTTGAATTTAATTAATTGTAATAAATGTATTAATGTATTTTATATTTCTATAACTTTAAATTTGTAATAAATTATAATATTTTTTTATTTATTTTCATAATAAAATGAAATACTTTTAATATTAAAGAATTTTATTTTGATTTTATAATTTAGTATTAAAAAATCATTTTATAATAAATTAAAAATAAATACTTGAAAAATTCAAATACTATATTGTAAAAAAAATACTAAGGTAAAAAAAAAATACGAAAAATTTATAATGGTATGACTTTATTTTAATGAAAAAATAAAATTTTATTTCTTTCATTATAATATAATAAAGAAATAAAATTGTATTAAATGATAATCATGAATAAAAAAAAAGAGGTTGGTAAAGATTTATGTACATAGAACATGGAAACTTTTTATATGCATTGCAATAAAATGAAACACATTTTAATTAAAAATATTATCATCTATTTTAAAAAGTTTGACCTAAATTAATGAACAATTTTATAAATTATAGTTGATATCAACGTAGAATATTTAATTATAGAATTAAATATATTTTTAATCTTCAAAATATAACTTTTAATAAATTAAAAGTAAGTGTTCAAAGTAAGTTGTCAGTGTAAGTATTTATAAAAATATTTTTTAAATTTGAAAAAAATAATCTTGATACAAATATTTTTATTTATGAGAAAATATATTGATATATATTTTTTTATAAATGGGATAAATTTAACTATTGATACAATTATTTTTATAAACAAAAATACTTTACAATTATTTTTATAAACGAGCATAAGTTACAAATATTTTTATAAATGAGAAAATTGAACTATTGATACAATTATTTTTATAAACGGGAATAAGTTACAATTATTTTTATAAACGGGAATAAATTATATTTTTAACGGGTCAAGACTACTTAATTTATATATCTTTTATATACATCTCTTAATCATCATTGTACTATATTTATTTATTATTTATAACGATATTGTGCGGACCGTATGAGCACACAAATAAATGACTACTTAATTATTTTATTTATTTTTGTACTAAAATATAAAGGGCCGAGACTACTTAATTTGTTTATATTTTATATATATTTCTTAACCACCACTATATTATATTTAATTATTATTTATTACAACATGTGCAAACACACGTATAAATCAATTTCTACTTTTAAATTCAAAAACAATTTTGTTTTCCTTATTTAAAATTCAAACAATTTTAGCTCTTCTCTCTTATTTTTTTTAAAAGAAAATCAACAAGGTTTTTATTTTTTAACTTATATTTTATATTTATAAAGTTCAATAATAAATTTACATTCAATAATTTGTCATATTTCACAAATGAATTGTCATTTAAAAAATAGAATCATTGTTAACTTATATATTCATTTATAAAATTCAACAATATCTTTATATACGATAGAGACCAAAGTTATTTAAATTTAAAATAAAATGATCGAAATTATTTAAATTTAAAATTAAAATATAAATTTCTTAAATCATATAAAAAAGGAAATCAAAACTTAATTAAACCTAAAATATATTATTTCCATAAAATACAGCAATAAAAAATATTCAATGGTCAAGATATGCTCTCCATTTGTGTATATAAATAAATGTTTAAAGGAACACATCTCATAAGAAAACAAAGAACACCTATTCTATATAACAAGATGAACACAACAAGGAACTATACTTTTCTCCAATTCACAATATTCTTAATTGCTTTCTTCATCATTACATCAGGTTTGAAATATATGATTGAATTTCCTCTAAATATCTTGTGATTTATTTAAAATGAACTTGTTTTCATATAATTAAAGAATATTTATTATATTTATAATTTACAAAACTACTAGATAATTGATTTATTTTATAATAATTAATTTACAAAACTGTTATGATATTCTCTTATTGTTTCTGTTTGTAGATATGTGCAAGAAAACAGAAGCACAGTCGCCTATTGTGACCTGGCCATGTGTATCACCAAAACCTTGCAAAGTTAGCAGCACTTTTAGTTGCCCGTGTATTAAAAATCAATGTCAATGTGGAAAACCACCTTTTGATGATAACAATTCTATTGCACCATCCTCAATTGCAAATTGAATAAACACATATTGTGTGGCAATCATATAGTGTATGAATGAGAATGTAATAAAGGTTGATAAGAAAAATATTTAATTTCATCTTATTCTATTTTCAAAGTTTATCTTATGAATAATGTTATAAAATCTTCTTTGACCTTTAATTTCTTTTGTTCTTCTTGACTTGATAGAAAGAATAGAGTGTTTTGTAAATAGATTCGACATATTAGATTTGTAAAGCACGAGTCTAATCTAGTTATAAATTTTAAGATTTAAATATGTCATACGGTTTATTATAGGGTTAATTATAGGTTTGATTATGCCCTTTTTAAAGTTTGATATTACACATTTACATACTTGAAATTTATTTCATTCAAAATATTTAAATTTATAATATAACCTCTTTTTTAATTATAACCTCTTTTTTAATTATACGAACGAGTTAATAAATTATTGAAATTAAACTTATTTTAATATTTAGCATATAATTTTAGATAATCAAGATAGATCTAATATCATATTTTAATTTTTGTTTATATAATAAATTTTAGTATAAAAATTAATATAAGTTAATACAATGAATTATTGAAAATGTTAACAAACTTATACATTAGTAAGAAAATACAAAGTCTAATATAATAAAAAGAGTAATACAAAAATATTATTTAAATAACTTTTTTGATGGGGTTGATTATACTCTATATGTTGTTCTAAACTTTATGAATTTTTGAAAATACCACTTTTCCTTTGTTTGGATAGTACAATTTATATGTACCCTAAATTATTCAGCACCTTATTATTTATTTGAAATGATTTTCGGAGTACGATTTTTATTTAGTCGGATAGTAATATCCAGAAAGCATGATACATAGTTCAGATAATACTATTCAGACCATCATATTTATTGCATAACCATTTCATAAGTTCTTTCACTAAAGATCATACACATATTTTGTTCATAATCAATTCAATTATATTTTGACATCATGAATCTCATAATCGTCTTAAATTACATATAATGTATATCTGTATCTCTAATCATTATATAAAAATATGGTTGTTTTTGTTCATTGTGAAAGTCATATGGATTGTATCATCTAGAGCCTTCTAAATTTTGAATTTTTGATATTTAGAATGATTGATTGAATTCTCTTAATTTTTCATGGTTAACGTATGGTGCAACCAAGTTAATGTGTAACACTCTAAAAACTCGACTCTATATATAAAAGATAATCAAATATTTTGTAAAAAAAAGTATTACACATGCTCAACATACGTTACTTTTTCAACCAAAATAATTTAACATGCATTGGAACTCAACTATTAAAATATACTTTAAATTATCTCTTCAAAATAAAATACTTGATTAAATTTAAATGATGCAAAACATCAACTCAAACATTAACAAAACGACTTGTTCCTCGTGTTACGAGTCGAGCAAGCGAAACTAAAATATCGGAAAACAATAAATAAACGAAGAAAAACTTCAATGCTATCGTCTAACTCACAACAGCTAATTCTTCTCATGAGTATTTGTACCACGGCGTACAAAACACCACAAACAAAACAAAACATGGGTGATAATATATTAAAACATATTAAAAGTGCAAATATAGCAAAGGTAGCATATTTAAAACAATTATCAATGACACTTTATTCACCACAATAAAATAATCACAATATGCTTATGTATGCAATGTAAATAATATCTCGACTCAATGCACGTGGTACCATTTCGTGAGATCTGAGTTTGTTACTAACATTCATATACTAAATAAAGTTCCTCTTCAAACCCAAAATCATCATTGATCCACTCTTATGAACCAACGACTCGTCGCTTCTCAACATCGACACATATAATGGATGATATGCAAAAATAACAACAACAAACAGTTGCAATAAATTTACCACCTGCTCCACTTCAAACCCTTCACAACACCAAAAGGCATCTACTGTAGTTCACACCTAAACTACACTTCTCAACATCTCACCCTTTCATGACCACTCACCATGAAACTCAAAATTAATTATTTAAAACCACGTAAAATAGTTAACAACTTATCAAACACGTCAAAACAGTAACCAACGGCCACTGAAATAGGAAATAGCTCGAAAATAGATAGTTGAACCATCAGTTTCTACATGTCAGCTATTTTTTGATCAAAAAGAAAAAGAAAAAAAAGGATCAAAACAGTTTAAAAATAAAATAGAGAAACTGATTTCGTGATTTGACTAAAATAAGGGGATTAAAACTATAATTTAACTTTCATTTTAATTGCTTTACACCAATAATTAGATATGCAAATGGGCATAATAAGGGTATGGTACTATAGTATCCATCCCTATACTTGCAGTTGGAAAACAATCCCCGTACCCGAGCCTATATCCACTTAGTTAATATCTTTAGCACTCCTACTCATGTCTATGGGAATATAAATATTCATCCCCGTACCGATTACGCTCATTTCTATTAATAATAAACATGTCAAATATAAAATATTATAGGCATAATTACTCTAGGGGTCCTTTAAGTTATTTTATTACAACAAGTTAGTCCTTTAAGTTTTTTTGTAACAACTTAGTCCTTAAATTTTTTTTAACTACTACAAAAAGATTGTGTCATGTCGGACGCGAAATGTATTTTACCTCGGCATTTGAAGCGAGGTAAATAAGTTCGTCATGAAAAGTAAAGACTTATCACCTCGGTGTTTAAAACATCAAAAGATATTTTAATACCGCATGAGTTCGATTTACACTGTCTGCATTTTATCATTTACAATTGTAGTGCCTCAAGTATTTCGGAATCTCAATAAAATCGAGGGGTAAACTATTAGTATTTTTTTTAATTTAAACTGGTTACATTGTTTACATAGAAAATTAATAAAGTAACTTGTTTACAAAATATAATATTTACCTAGAATATTAAAATGGTTATATTGTTAACACATAATATCAAAATAAAAATCAAAGTTATCCGTGAAGATCATATATTGGATCTTCAAATCTTTGATATCCATGAGAAGATCAATTGTTGGAAATAATATGTTTTCAATTTCTTTTACTTGCATTAGTTTCTGATATAAACAAAAAAAAGGGATAGATAAATAAATAATTTTATGTTCAAATAAATATTTAAGAACACAAACCTTAAACCCAAATAATTTTCAGCTCTTACAATCCATCTTAGAGAACTCTTCACGACCCGGACTATTACTAATATTAAAATGGAGGATACTTTCAAGTGCTTCATGATGTTGTATTATGAATTTTTGATATTCTGATTGCTCTTATAATGAAAGTTATTTAGGTTTCACGCGAATCACTAGTGGAAGTGTCTTGAGGGCTGATAGTGATGAAAATGGACGACAAGGATTTGATTAAGGACGATGACAAATATACTCAAAATTAATGCTAAAATATCCCCTCAGTTTTTAAAAATCCGAGGTGGAAGAATATTATTATTTTTAATTTTTAATTTATATAATTTACAAATAATTTTAAACACAATATTATAAAAATTCAAGATTCTTGGAGATAAACAAATCTTTGCTATAAGGAGTGATTGGAAATAAATTATTTACAACAGATCTTTGGTGAAATCCTTAGAGATCTCATAGTCTTCGGAAACCTCAGAGATTTCATGGTCTTTAGAGATATGTTCTTAAGCGTTTCTAGATTAAGAAAATTCATGGCAATGAACAGTGATAAATATTTCCTCTATCTGTCGCGGCTATATATTAGTTAGAATTAGGGTAAAATCTATTTTATAAATGCCAGATTTCACCTCGGTTATTTTTTAAAATTGAGGTGACATTTGTTATATATATTTTTTATGATATTTACATTGTTTAGATAAAATATTAAAATAAATGGTTTATAACAAATCTTTTCTCTTTTGAATGAATATCTTCGTTGATATACATCATTCAAAGGTTGAGCTCTCTTCTTTGTGTAAGTTGAAGCAATAATATTAAAATACATTATTACAATAAATACAGTGTCATTATAGCCATTGTTATTCTTGGAGAACAACAAATCTTTGTTGTGATCCCGATTTAGTTGCATACTATTGTGTGCATGCTTTTTAAGCTCAATGATTTGAATGCATCCATCTTCTAATAAGTTATTTGTTCCAAAAATTGAAAAATATTTTTTCTATACCTGCAATCCATCATAGGAAGTTTATTCCAAAAATACAACAACATCAACACGATTATGTCAGATAGATTGCAAGGGCAGAAAAAACATTTTGTTCTAAATAAAAGAAGATTGAAGATTTTTCTGTATTGCAATTCATCCCAAAGAATGATGCATGCGAGTTTGGGGCAGTTTCATACACGTAAGGAGTAGAGTCAAATTTAACGAGTATTTTTATAGTAAAATCTGATTATTTTATCCCTCAGTTATATCGAAAATCGAAGGGTTAGATAATTTAGTTTAAACTTATAAACAACTAAACATAAACTGCAATAGCAGAGATTCGAAGTGTGTCCTGACTTGCCTTTCCTCTTAGTTATTTTAAAACCCGCGAGAAATTATGGATTTTTATTTTTATAAATAATCAAAGATGGCGCGCCTTGACATTTTACCTCAATTTTTCTTTGACAGAGGTGAAAATTTCATCATGAAAAGCGTTATTTATTGTAGTGTTGGTTGAATTAGGATCTGACTTTAGATTTTTCGGATGCTACTTTATATATTTATGATGCTAATATATGTATTTTGTTACAACTTTATATATTTTAGGTGATTGATTTAATCCAAGATTGAAAAAACAAGTAAAAAGGGTCACAGTACACATGTTAGTTAACTTAAAAGACTCACGGACCATCTTATTACAATAAAATAACTTAAATGACCCCTGATATATTTTTGCCAATATTATATATCTTAAGTTTATAAGATCATTTAAAAGTTTTCAA